ATAAACTTCCAAAATTGGGTTTAACACTTAAATTTGAGTATAAACACTTAAATTTTAAGAGTTTTTTTCATAAAGTACTCAACACTACAGTATGAGTTGGATTAGGTTACACTTTGGAGGGCGACTTTCCCCCACTGCACATGGAAAAATAAAAAATAAACTAAACAACTTATTTATTAGCAACACACGAATAGTTATTTTTATAGTTTTGTTATTGAATAAATTAATTATTAATCGCCATATGGTGAGCAGAATTTAGAAACGAGTCATGATATCAAAAAATACATCAATACATTCCTTTAAAGGATAATGTCGTTTAAACATAAATTCACTTAAATAATATTTATAATAAACTTTAGGAGTTCCATATAGGATGGACGTCGCTTCACATAAAAAATCGTAAAATATATTTTAAAGCAAAAAATTTCTATTTCATATAGTAGAAAAGACACATCATATTTCAAACCTTTTTTGTTAATAACTTTTGAACTAACAGCGACCGCCACCTAAAACCTATTGGAAGTCACTCAGGGTCATGACCTTGACAACATATGTCAAGGTCAAGGTCATTAGAGGTGTCGCCCTTTTTTTATATATTTACCAAAAATTGATGTTATTATTGTAAGAATAATGTCTGTATATAAAATAAAAATTATAGTGACTTATACTCTGCAGATAGTAAAGTCTGCGGAAACAGATTTTGAGTTACGAAGCAGATCATGCTACCAATTTTTCATTGCAGAAAAACAGCAAATTGTACACGAAGTTTGTACCATCTAACAATATTAGCAAAATGCTGTCAGAAATATGACAATTAAGCCTGCTGTCATGCTGTGCTAGAAATTGGTGGCAGTAATCGAACAGAGTCTGCTGCACAACCTGATAGCAAATTGTTGGTAAAAATCGAGCAAAATCTGTCATTTTATATGCGGTTTTGTCACGAGATAGATTTACTTCTCATAAGAAGAAAACGCTCAGGAGTTCTATAAGAAAACGCATCAAGTAAGAAAATCTTTTGAAAATTTCCAAGTTTTTTTTAGAGTGTGCTTTCTAAGCCTCCCTGGTGAAAAAATATCTGAAAGTTTCGCTGCAAATGCCTGAAACATTTTTCTGGAATTTTTAGTAACATCACTGACGAGATACTATTAAAGACCGATATCCTTACAAGAGTTCACGTTCTTGTTAATTTTGAAGCGATTAAGAGTAAAAAGCTGATAATATTGTACTAATTTTATGATTTATTAGTAGACGCATTTATGCATTTAGTACTCAATAATACTCGATTTTTCTTTAAAAATTTCAGTGTATCAAACATGTCATGTCAAAGTTTGATTATCAACAGAGATGATAACTAGAAAAAATGGTAATTTTTCAGCAATATATAGGATATTATAGCTTTACAAGTATGCATATTTATTTATGGAGCATTTATATGATAAAAAATCATGAATTTAAAAATGTTAGCAAAATATTTATGTTAAGCAAATTTATATCAGTTGTCGATAATGTTCTTCAGTTACCTCCAAGCCCTCGGAACTTTTTTTATACCGCCGAAAATTTGCCCAGGGTTGACGATCTTTAATAGTATCTCGTCAGTGGTAACATTCACAGACTTTCTCAAAAAAATTCAGGAATTATCAGCGATTTCACTGAAAATTATTTTTAATTATCTGAAAGTCTCTTATTTTCACTGAAAATCGGAAATTCAGTGATGTCTCTAAAGATAGAATTTTCATGGTTTCTTACTTTTCAGAGATTTTCAGCGAATTCTCTAAAAACCATTTTTCAAGTGCCTAAAAATTCCTGAACTTAGCTGAAATTTAAAAATTCAGTGATCTCTGAAGATAAAATTTTCACGATTTCTCACTTTTTAAAGACTTTTGGCAAATTCTCTAAAAATAATTTCCAAGTATATAAAAGTCCTTAAATTTCGTTAAATTGAAATTTTGGAATTCAGTGATATTTTTGAAGATAGAATTTTCATAGTTTCTCACTTTTCAGAGGCTTTCAGTGATTTTTTAGAAAATTATTTTCAAGGCTCTCATATTCCAGAGGTCCCAGACATGGTGGAAATATATAAGGTGAAACAATACGCATAATGGCGGTAGCAATACTGGAAATAGATCTTTCCTACCTATAATAGCGCAAGTTATACTGGAATAGCCAATCAAATATGTCCGAATATGCACTTTCCTACTGCGCATCTATCAGATTGCTTCATCTTATATATTTCCACCATGATCCCAGATTCGAATTCCACTAGGAAAGTGTGTTATTCAAAATTATTTCAGGTAAAATCATTACGTATATCTTGCATGGAACAACTTCTATTAAAAAAAGAAATCAAATTTATAAGTCTTAAAATATGTATTTTTTCCAGTATCGTATTGAAAATCACTGAAAATCTCTGATAAATTCTGAAAATATATGAATATACTATAAGAAATTTTATAAAAATCTTTAAAAAATACTGAAATATTTTGACAAATCTCTGAAATTATATACTGAAAAATTCTCTGAATAGTTCTGCAACGTATCCGAAAATTCGGATATTTTTAGAAAAATTTATATATTTTTTCGAAGAAATTTTCGGAGAAATTTTTTATTAGGGCTCCGAATGTTTTTTTTTTAACTATTTTATAACTTTTTCATGTGTATTTAAAAAAAAAATCTGATAATCAATAATATTTTAATATTAAAACTGCATTGATTATTGTTTTCAGTTTTTATACCAGTATATACAGGGTGTTCAGTAAAGACCGAACAATAAAGAGTATCAACAGAAAAAGTAACAACGCTTAAAATTATAATATCGGGGATGTAATACACTCACCGGTAAAAAATAGACCACAAAGTTTTAGCACAAATTTTTAATATTTTCAAATAACAATAACTCAATGAAAAATCATCGTATCGAAATAAACCATAGCTCAAATTAAAGCTCGAGCATTCTCCTTGATGACCATGGAGATCAAAATTTCAGTTACACAAAATGTAATACAAAATAGCAGACGTTGAACGGACATTGCAAAATAGTTAAAAAAAAAATTTTTTTTAACCGTTAACTGCTTAAGCCCGTATCAGACTACTGACTCTGCAAGCCAATCCGATTGCCAACTCTGATTGCCGACCAATAATGGACCAATCACATTGAATTAGTCTTATTATGATTGGTCCATTATTGGTTGGCAGTCAGAATTGGCAGTCGCGTTGGCTTGCAGAGTCGATATAGTCTGATACGGGCTTTAGGGGAATTGGCTGCATGGCACAAAATTGTATGAGTTTTTAAGCTCATAGATTTTCAAACAAATCCATATTTTGAACATTTTTCTACGATTTTTTTTACAAAGTTATATCGTTTTAAAGAAAGTGTTACAAAATGGACAACTTTTTTTTGTAAACTCGGTATAACTCAGAAACAAATTATTAGGAAACTTTATCAGAAAGAAAATTAAAATGTAAATTTCAAATTTTAACTGTTTTTAATTTTGTATAAGTGTGTGTGCATATGCATGCGTGTGTCCTGCTCTCAACGTAACCCAGAATCAACAGAAGCATGGACGTGGCAGGAATCTGATCGCGCGCGCGCGCGCACGCGTATGTGTGTGCTTTAGTAATGTGTATTGCCTCCTTTCACATTTATCAATTCGTATATTCGTCGGGGCATACTGTCAATTAAATATCTTATTTTTTCTTGTCTGAAATTATGCCATTCCTCCTGCACAGCGTTGCAGAGGTAATACACATTACTAAAGACACACACAAGCACGTACGCATGTACACGCGTGCACACACACACGAGATCAGATTCCTGCCACTTCCACGCCATTGATCCTGGGTAACGTCGAGAGCAGGACACGTGCATACATATGTACATGCACCCACTTACACAAAATTAAAAAGTTAAAATTTGAAACTTACACTTTAATTTCCTTTCTGATGAAGACAATAATTTGTTTCCAAATTATACTGAGTTTACAACACAAAATTGTTTTGTAATACTTTCCTTAAAATGGTATAACTTTGTCAAAAAAAAAAAAACGTAGAAAACTGTTCAAAATATGGATTTGTTTGGAAATCAATGAGCTTAAAGACTGATATACTTTTATGACATGCACCCGGTTCCTCTGAGCAGTGCAACAGTTTAAAGAAAAAAATTTTTTAACTATTTTTTGATAGTCCGCTTTTAACGTCCGTCATTTTGTAATAAATTTTGTGTAACTCAAATTTGATCTCCATGGTCATCAAGAGGAATGTTCAAGCTTTAATTAGAACTGTGGTTCATCTTGATACTATGATTTTTCATTATTGAGTTATCGCTACTTGAAAGTATTAAAAATTTGTATTAAAATTTAGTGGCCCGTTTTTTTGTCGGTGATTGTAGTTTTTGAATTTTAGGCACTTAAAATTAATGAATCGTACCGCTTAAAATTCGCGTGCTTAGGTACGGTTGGATTTTCCGTTGTATTACATCTGAACTTTAGGCAGTATGATTCGATAACTTTAAGTACTTCTAATTTAAAAATTATTAAAGCCTCAACATTTTGATAATAGAATTTTCGTCTCAAAATGATCTTAGGAATCTATCCTTAAGCGTTGTTACGGTCTTTACTGAATACCCTGCATAATTATGTATAATTATTATAATATATATAACCGTTTATATATACAGTTATATGTGAAAAATTTCTTATTAAAAAACAAATAGATTTAAAAAAAAAGATAAACCTTGCTCGGTTTCTGCTGCCAATCGGTCGTCAGGTTATATCAGACTATGCGCGATTTTGACTCTCAATTGCTATCAAGTTATGTCAGCATACTCACCCATCTGCTGGCATAACATGTCTATAGGCTTTGTCGACAGATCTATAGCCAAATGCGGACACATATGGTTATATAGTGAAAATCTGCTCGAATTTGCTACCAATTTGCCCGCAATTTGCTAACATTTTGCTATCAGGGTCACTATTATTTTAATGCAAATACATATATTGATATACCTTAATGTGAGATATGTAGCTGATCGCAATGGACGAGGCAGGCTTTTGCTATTCGTTGTGTAGGTATGTCCCTTCAACTTTTACTAACATTTATCGACGGATACGGGCTCCTTCATCCATTTTTATAAAAGGAAAGTTCTTTAGCGTTTCATTGTCATGTTAGCATAGACAAATAGTCGTCACCATCTAAAAACAGCAAATAATATCGCCAATTATGATATTATCTTGTATGATTGTAATTGTGTGTAGAGAAAGTTTTTCGCAGTCAAAGAGTATAATCGTATTTCTCAAACCCTTGTTACAATAACACATAAATACGCATCAATATTTCACTTAACATAATTATATAAAATAAAATGGGGGAGGGAGAGAGATAAAGAGAGAAAATTATATAGGGTCCTGCAATTATCACATTATCTATTGAGAATGTATTCCTAAGACAACGTCTCTCTTTTGAGTTGAAAATATTATACTAATATGAAGATATTTCCAATAAATACATATTGGTATAAATATATTAATAATCTTAAGCAGGGCCGTACACGTGAATACATCAAATACGATACAGAAACCTAAGATCAGTTAAATTTTGGACATTACAAATAATACATTATATATTCCTTTATTAAATCAATTTATTCCAAATATAATTGCGAGCCGATAACTTTCGATTTTAATACAATCATTTTGAAACGTTAATTAATAATCCCCCCTAAATTAAATTAGAAAGAAAAAAAGAAAGAAAGTAAGAAATTTATTGAGAAAAATTTGTACACACACGGCCATACAACGGATTCTTTCTATACATATCAGTTATCGCGAAGAATATTTCCGAAATCTCAGTGATCGAACTAGCTAAGATATTCTTCCCGGAAAGTTGAGAGGTCCCAGGTTCGAATCCTGGCTGAGGTAATATTTTTCGCAATAAATTTCTTTCTTTCTTTTTTTCTAATTTAATGTAGGGGAAATTATTAGCGTTTCAGAATGATTGTGTCGAAACCGACAGTTATCGGTTCGCAATTGTATCTGGAATAAATTGATTTAATAAAAGAATATATAAAATGTATTATTTATAACATCCAAAATTTGACCGATCTTGGCTTTCTTTATCGTATTTGATGTTGGTATATTATGCGTTTATCAAACGTAAGTATAAAATTGATGCTATAAAATAGGAATGCACCGGATATCCAGGAAATATCCGGTATCCAGTATTATTCGACATTTTTTTACTATCCGACCGGATAGCCGGATATCATTAGGTGCTTTCCATTTAATGACAAAAGTCGAATACCTTTTTATTTTTGTTACTCATTGAATGTTAAGAAAGATAGAATGATACTTGTGTCGATTTTTGTCAATTTTCTAAATGGAAAGCACTAAATCATTATCCGGAAATTTTATATTAATGGTTTACATCAATTATCATTAATTATCAAGTATAACATCTGCGCAATATGATGATATTGACAGTATCGTTAAGAATTATGGCCGCAGCCCGTGTATATTGTAACTCGTTATGCAGTCGTTATGAGTTCATAACGACAGTTGCGCAGCTTTTTTACTATAGGTATAAAATATCTGTGCAACTGTTATGAGCTCATAACGATTGCACAACGAGTTACAGAATACAGAGCCTGCACAGACTCTTATATAACGCATGATGCAGAGTGTATAAGGGAATCAACCAATCGAAATTCTTCTTCTCCATGTAGAGTGGGAGAAAAGAAAAGAGTCTGATTAGTTGATTCGCTTATGCGCTATACGTTATTCGTTATGCAAAAGTCTGTGCTGCGACCTTTATAGAATCAGGTCTCTGATATTTTTACATTATGATATCAGGACCTCTACATATACTATGTCCACATATATTAATGTTAATACATATACAAGCATGGTGCATTTCTTTCCATCTTTCAGGTGCATTTCTTTCCATCTTACCACTTGACGCATGTGTATAAATCAATATTATTGGAGACTACTTTTTTCCAAAGAGTTAGCGATCTAAGGACCACCACACACAAAAAAACTTAAGATATGTAAGCAGTAGCCAATCCAACACATTGGTTTCCTTACTGCTTACATTTTACTGCTTAAGTTTTTTGTGTGTCGTAACCCTAATAATATATGTAGAAGTTCGTGATGCAGGAAATATTATACGATTTCTGTTGTGATTGTTATTTCGCTTACTACTTACGTCTTACTGCCTCAAAACCGGGAGCACACACTTTTGCATAACGCATTACGCATAGGGCATAAGAAAATAAATCAATCAGAGTTTTTTATTTCATGTAAAGATAGAAAATGAAGATTTTTTATTGGTTCATTTTCTTATTTTTTACTCTTTATTCTAAAAGATTTAAAGTATTAAAAATAAAAACAAGATTGATATTTTGAAACTCATGCCAAAAAAATATACCTCTTTAAATTGTTAATCGGACGATCTTCGATTAATGCCTGTTTCTACCAATGCAGTTTAACTTTAGTCTCGGTTCAACTAATTCTTCATCTTTTTCTAGTTTTAAAAATAAGAAAAAGGTGAAGAGTAAGTTGAGCCGAGATTAAAGTTAATCCACATTGGTAGAAATGGGCATAATTTAGCTTAAATTAATCGTCAATTAATTTATCTTTAATTGAATTCGCTCATATCAATTGTCAATTAAATAATTTCCAATTAACTCCGCTTAAATCAATCGTCAATCAAGCGATCTTCAATTAATTTGGCTAAACCAATCGTTAATCGAATGACCTTTAACTAAATTCGTTCATATCAATTGTCAATTGAACGACTTCCGATTACTTCTGCTTGAATCAATCGTCAATCAGACGATCTTCGATTAATTTGGTTTAAATCAATCATTAATTTAATTATTTTTAATTGGATTAATTCGCTCATGTCGACTGTTAATTAAACATTAAACAACTTTCGATTAACTTCGCTTGAATGAATCGCCAATTCAAAAGTTTCCATTACATTTGCTTAAATCAATCATAAATTGAATAATATTCTGAATTGAATTCTGTCGTATCACTTGTCAATTAAATATATGATTTAATTTGAAAAAGTTATTAATTAGATACAACCCTGGATATAGCTTTAGAACGAATAACCGCTTCCGAAGCACCATCCCAATAAACACATATTGCATTATACGTTTATTGAACGTAAATATGATATAAAATTGATATCGGCATTATATATGGCATATACGTTAAAAAATAGTTCATAAAACACTAATATTTTATTTACGTTTAAAATACGTATAAAAATAGTATAATATTCTAATTAAATAAACGTTTTTTAATTTACGTTTATAATTTACGAAAAACATTTTTTTTAAACAACGTATTAAGAATTATTAACGTATTTAAATAGTATATCGTTCATGAATTTAATGTCTAGATATGATATGCTGTCTAAATACGTTAATAAAAGGTTGAGCGCATATTCCCAATGAAAAAAATAAAAGTATAATACACGTAAGTATACGTATGGAAATAATATATAATATAAATGTAGTATATTAAAAGTATGACTTGATTATAACATAAATAGACAATAAGTAACACATCTATCAACTGAAGAAGTAGTGTAGCACGTAAGGCAGAAGATTCATGATCCGGAGGTCCCAGGTTCGAATTCCTTAAGATATCTCATTAAAAAACACGATAATATTATCCATTTAAATAAAGTATTTACGGAAGGTCTAAATGTAGCACGAAGAGAAAAAATTTCCTGTAAACGCGAAAGGAATTACCAAATTTAATTGTCAAATTTATCTGATATTTACAGCAAACAAGTTTATATATTTGATAAATATTTTGAATTTGTTGCAAATAATTTTTATAGCGAGTGGGAAAAGAATAAATATTTATTACACCTGCAAAAAATTTGCAGTCCTTATATTTGCAAATGGAATTTACTGTTATGGCATATAGAATTAGCATTCATAATAATTTTTATCCTCCGCGTAATAAATTCAACGTATATCAGTTTCATATAATTTTAGTTGCGATAACATTATGTTTATCAAGTACGATTTGAAATAATTGGAGAAGGACGTTAACAAAAATAATATATATAGTATATGACAACGTTTATCAGCCAGACATTATACAACTAAATTTATTATCGGAACTAATACACGTTGTATCTATAACGTTTAGATCTCTCGTAAATATCTGATTTGAACATATAATATACCATCTTGTGTTTATTGGAATCGAATTAATACAAGGGAAAATGTTTTGTTATCATAATTTTGTTGTATATTTTGGAATAAGACGCTATTGGATAACACATATTTTAGCAATAAAACTGGTAATAATTAATTTTTTACTAGGATTATAATGCTCTTTCTCTTTTTTTTTTTTATTAAATATTTTCATAATTAAATACGATAAAGAAAGCCAAGATAGGTCAAATTTTGGATATTACAAATAATACATTATATGTATATTCTTTTTTATTAAATCAATTTATTCCAGATATTATTGCGAGTTGATAACTTTCGGTTTCAACACAATCATTCTGAAACACTAATAATCCCCCCTAAATTAAATTAGAAAGAAAAAAAGAAAGAAAGTAAGAAATTTATTGCTAATAATTTAATAAAAAAGAATATATTATTTGTAATACATACAATGTATTATTTGTAACATCTAAAATTTAACTGATCTTGGCTTTCTTTATCGTATTTGATGTATTCACATATACGGTCGTGCTTAAGATTCTTAATATGTTTATATTCATAATGTTTATCACAACATTTATGATAAGTATAATATATTTCATAATATTTTATAATATTTAAGATAAAGCTTCATGATTTGTGCGGTCAAAGACTACAAAAATATTTGAAAAACATTTCAATACATATTTTGTAAATATTCAAATATATCTTGTAAATATTTTACAAATACTATATGCTGTCTGGGACATAGCTTCGACGACATTTGCTTTGAAATGGAATAGTCGATTTTTTTTTAACGAGTGTTTCAGCCATTAAAAGTGCGATTTGACAATAAAAGAAACTGAGTCTTTTATTCTTGTCTAAAAGTAACATATTCAAATTTTATCAAAATAGGAGGGGGATACTTGGATACTTTTCGTTGTTAGTAAATGTATGCATTAGGGTGGCTCTTATTTACTCTTGGTGAAAATTATTTGGGAATCTTTCTTCGCG